CTATTATTATTATTTTTTTGAGACAGTTTCATTTTTATCACCCTTAATAGAGTGTGGTGGCACTGATACAGGACAGGTGGCTCCTCAGCCAACTCGATGGCACTGAGGGGTGGACCTGCTGCCTTCAGGTGGTGTTGGTGCAGTGGTAGCCGGCAAAGGAACCAGTTGGCTGGAGGCTGGGGGGACGGGGGAGCCCTGTAGGAGTAGGAGGCTCCAGTAGCCAGAGGGGACAGACACCTGCTGAGGAGACACCAGCGCCTTAGGTCTCCCTCCCCTTGCACTTATGGCTAAACAGGGAACCCCCCATTTCCTAGGCCTGGTCAATTTGATTTAAGTTTCTAGGCCTGGGAATGAAAGGGATTGTAGCCATTCATTTGCTACTGAGTTCCAGCTAAATGTAACTATAGAGGACCCAGGCCGGCTAAATGTGTTCCTGCTATGTGTAACTACAGAGAACCCCACGTGACTATATATACCCTATATATACCCCGAGAGAGACAGAAAGAGACGGACCGAGAATGCTTTTTCGCTTTGGTGTCTTTGTATTCTTTTCTGTAAATAAATCCTGTCTTACCACTGATCTGTGGTCTGGATTCATTCCTTGAATCACTGAGATCAAGAACCTACTGAAGACGAAATTCCGGTATCAGCATCTCAGCTCACAGCAACCTCAAATTCTTGGGCTTAAGCAAATTCTCTTGCCTCAGTCTCCCAAGTCGCTGGGACTACAAATTCGAACCCACCACTGAGCTACGGGTGCCCCGCCAATAAAGATATTTAAATATTTTCTGTGATGAGGAACACTTCCTTCAAAAATCATATCACAAATATAAACATCTTACAACTTTTGATGTTCTACAGGAGAAATGATGTAAGACACTTTGGACACCTGGACATGAAAAGGTGTAAAGCCCATGAGTACTCAGTCCTCTGGTGCCTACCTGGTATCTCATAGCCATGGGTGTAGAAAGACTGGCCCCCATCCACGTCCACCAACTGTCCGGTGATAAAGGAAGCTGCAGGGGACAGCAGGAAGCACACCAAGGAGGACACCTGGAAGCAGAAACAATTGTGCACACACAGAAAAGCAAATCCTCCCCACTGCCGTCTGTTTCCCGTTCCCCATCAACCCATCTCAAAGCACATGCTTGTAACATGAATCCCCTGTGTGTGCGCCGTAATCTGACAGTACACAGACAGCTTCCTCGGTCTACCTGAGCATCCGGTCAGTGACTAGGGGAAAGAAGGCAAGCTAGGAAGGAGCCTGACGTTGCTGAGACGAGCTACACATCGTGGGAAGAAGCCAAAAGCGAGCTCAGTGCTTCATCTCTGCTCGTTCCCATTTCAAACAATCCAGTTCCATTCCCACCTTTCATTGTCCACCACAACCCCACTGCTGTCACTACCACATGACTTTTATATTCTGGCCGCTGCAATGGTCAATGTGCCTGGATAGCAATAAACTGGCATTCTGGTTTATTCAGTCCCTGGTCCTGTCAGGCCAAACACCCAGCAACACACAACAGGAGGTCTCTACAAGAGGAACCACTGCATCCCCTAAAAATTCAGACAGTGAACTGGTGAATTCAGCAACATCTACTCCCAAAACCAGGAAGAAAGAAATTATTTCACTGCCTGCAAAGGAACTCTTTTTTTTTGAGACAGAGCCTCAAGCTGTCCCCTAGGTAGAGTGCCATGGCATCACAGCTCACAGCAACCTCCAACTCCTGGGCTCAGGCGAGTCTCCTGCCTCTGCCTCCCAAGCAGCTGGGCCCACGGGCGCCCGCCACAACGCCTGGCCATTTTTTGGTTGCAGCCGTCATTGTTGTTTGGCAGGCCCGGGCTGGATTCGAACCCAACACTTTAGGTGTATGTGGCTGGCACCTTAGCCACTTGAGCCACAGGCGCCGAGCCAGCAAAGGAACTCTTATCTAAGGCTTTTGGCAGAAGCAGAATTTCCCAAAGGGTGATAATAACTAAACACCTGTACTAGAATCCCTACGGAAACTGACTGAAACTCCAGGTTTCTAGGTCCTTCTAAGAGCAAAGAAATTGTAAGACCCAGGGTGGAGCCTTAGGATCTGAAATTTTTAAAAGCCCCCAAGTGGGGCCAGGACTAAGCTGAGGCTAATGAAGTACCTCGGGGATAAGGAGGTACTCTCAGGATTGCAAAGCCATCCCTGAGAATGAGTGCGGCCTTAAATTTTGTGCCCACACCTTGCTAACCTCATCCCAATCCTGGCTCTCTACAAAGCACTATAAATTTGTGTTTCCAGGGCTAAGGCTCTTTGAGACTCTGAGAGCCTGGAGGGCAACCACCACTTTCTCCTTAGCAGCTATACGAGAACTGCACTAAAGTGGGGGGCCACTAGCCATATGGGCCTTAAAAAACCCACTTTCAACATGGCTGGTCCAAACTGAGATGTGCTGCAAGTGTAAAACACACACCAGGTGTGGAAGACTTAGTATGGAAAAGAGAATATAAAATCCCTCATTCATAATTCTTTGTGTTGATCACATGTTTAAATGCTCTGGATATATTGGGTTATGTCAATTATATTATTTAAATTCATTTCCTCTCTTTTTACTTAATGTGGCTCCTAGAAAGTTTAAAACTACAAAAGTTGCTATTATAGTTCTATTGGACAGACCTGGTCTGGAGCTAATAATTTAAAAGCCCCCACACTGTTAGGAAAGGCAGATTGGACTGAGCCATGGTAATAAGTAGCAATCAGAGCTGGTTTTCACCTTGTTTAATCAAATCAGTGACAACTTACCCCAGGCACACATTTTGCTAAAGTCAGCAAGAAGAGACTCCAATTAGCTCTTTTCTGAAACTTTAGCCAAACAACCACCATTTTACTCAAGTAACCATAGCCTTCGCCAGTCTGCAAATCCCAGTAACCACACTCCCTCCCAGAAAATATAAAGATCAGTAGTCAGCTCTTCTTAGAGAGATTGTGCCTGACCAGCACACCTCTTCCTTATTTAAATATGTAATAAAGTTAGCTCTGTGCTGAATTTTGTTTCAAATCTTGAGTGATGGCCGCATCCTTTGACAGTGTTGATCATATATAAGCACTTCACAAATGTTTACGGAATGAAGTTATCTTTCTGTAGCCCTCCCTCCTAATGAGATTTTGCACCACCCACCTTCTAATACAATGTTTCAACCATAGATTAGGCTCTCATTAAATAATACTGAATTGACATGAATCTCCCTGCTAGGTAAAATGTGTATATAAAAAGAGCTAAATATGCATGATGTTTGGCTTACTTTTGGAGTTCTATGTGGAACTAAATTGAACCAAAGCACTTTTTATCAACACCAAATTAACTAGGCACTATAGTAATATTTTCAGACATATGTTTCTTAACTTTCATTCTAAAAGCATATAAGAGAGTTCACAGATGGTCTGGAAGTACTGGTTCATTCGAGTTTTACCAGTGAATAAACACATTTAGAGACTAGCAACTTGTATCCATGTTACTACCTGGGTAATAACTCTTTTAGCTCAGTTATCTGTTTACTTGTAGCTCCCTTTATTAAAGACCACAGTGATTATAGATTAATATGTTTGGGTTTGAATTTCAGCAGAGGAAAGATAAATAAATCTTACATTTCTTAGTGGTCCTGAGAATGTAGCAGACAGCTGCAGAAGAACTCTTCCTCCAAAGATAAGAAAGAACTTTACACTGAGCAGAAATAGTCTTGAAAGAGACTATGTAAAAAACGATAGCACCCTGGTTTCTTGAGAAATATAATCATTAACTCTGTGATTTTTTTTGTCTGCTAGCTAAAAACTTTCCCATGATCTAACATCTATAACTATAACTTTGTAACTGTTACTGAGCTAAAATAAATAAATAAGGTATAAAAGAGTTCGGAAAGGCTGGGCACAGTGGCTCACACCTGTAATCCTAACACTCTGGGAGGCTGAGGTAGGTGGATTGCCTGAGCTCACAGGAGACCCCATCTCTAAAAAACAGCCAGGCATTGTGGCAGGCGCCTATAGTACCAGCTGCTTGGGAGGTTGAGGCAAGATAATTGCTTGAGCCCAAGAGTTTGAGGTTGCTGTGAGCTATAACTTCACAGCACTCTACTGAAGACCACAAAGTGAGAGTGTCTCAAAAAAAAAAAAAAAGTTTAGAAAGAAAATTCCCCAGAACTCAGTGTTTTATGCCCTGAAGCAGCTGAGTTCCCTGGGCAATTAAGTTCCTCCCTCTAGCTCTGGTGCAAAGTGTCTGTTGGTTTCCATTCCCTGTTTTCCTGCAATAGCCGGAAAGACCATGACCTAGGTCTTAAGGTAAAGTGATTTAACCTCAGCTGCCCTTTGTTTCCTAACCTGTGAAAACAGCACACGCTCCCTCTCCAGCCACTTGAGGGCTCTGCCAAGCACTGCACTCTGTTCCCAAGGGATACTGAGAGACACCTAGGGAGCTCTAGGCAGTTCTTTTTGAAACTATAGCTACAGTCTGACCCTCTGGATTCTTCCTCCAGGGGCTATCCCTTAAAAGGAGGCAACTCAGTCCTACATAGGCAGCCAATGGCCTGATGTGAAAATTCTGCACACCTGCAGACTCTGAGACACAATCAGTCAGGGGACAAAACTCTCTCCTGATTCTGATCTCACTGCAGCCACCATTCTCTCTCCCCTTCACAACCAGACTTTTCCAAGGAATGTGGCAGGTCAAATGCCAGGCAGCCCTAAGACCTTTTCAGGGGATTTGCAAGGTCAAAATTACTAAGTTCTTATTTGTCTTCTTCACTGTGTTGACATTTGTGTTGCCATTTGTACCAATGGTACCAAAGCAATGATGGGAAAAAGTGCTGGAGCCTGAGCACGAATCACAGCAGGAACATTAAATTGTATTAGTCATTAGACTACGGAGTCATTATAGTCTCCACTGGCTCATGAGGGGGGGAAAGCCAACTATACTTTAGAATGTCCTGATGGCACAGCAAAAAATTAATTGTATTAAATCTCAACCATCAAGTTCACATCTTTTTAATATTGTGAGTGGTGAAATCAGAAACATACCCACAAAGCTCTGTCTCAAGGAGAGGAATGTGCAACTGAAAGGAGAACTGAGTTCTTTTCAGGGAACACCATTTTTTACTTGAAAGAACTACTGACAAACTGCAGTTATTCACACGTTGGTATTTGGAAAGTTTTTTCAAAAACAACGTGAGACTCCCACTTCAAAAGAAAACCAATGAGGACTATCAGTTGTTAATGACAATATTTGAGCTTAAAAGGGAAAATTAGAATTTTGGAAAACTTGCACCTGCCACCATGAAACTTAACAACTTTTCTGCAGGTTTCTCAGTGGACTTACTAACAAATGTGATCTTTTGGCTCTGCGGCTAAGGCGCTAGCCACATACACCAGAGCTGGCAGTTTTGAATCCAGCCTGGGCCTGCCAAATAACAATGACAACTATAACCAAAAAATAGCCAGGGATTGTGGTGGGCACTTGTAGTTTCAGCTACTTGGGAGGCTGAGGCAAGAGAATCACTTAAGCCCAGGAGTTGGAGGTTGCTGTGAGCTGTGATGCCACAGTACTCTACCCAAGGTGACAGCTTGAGGCTCTGTCTCAAAAAAAAAAAAAGTGATTTTTTTGATGGTGTATAACGAATTGTATGTCAACATTCAGAAGATCTACTTAACTCAGTGAAGCTATAATTCCTAAAAGACTAATGTTTGATATTACAAAATCATATATGGGTAAAAAGATCCAGTTAAACTAAGAGAAAGATTTTCTTTTTTTTGAGACAGAGTCTCACTTTGTCACCCTTGGTACAGTGCCACCGTGACATCATAGCTCACAGCAGCCTCAAACTCCTTGGCTTAAGCGATTCTCTTGCCTCAGCCTCCAGAGTAGCTGGGACTACAGGTGCCCAACACAACACTCGGCTATTTTTTACAGACGGGGTCTTGCTCTGGCTCAGGCTGGTCTCGAACCTGTGAGCCCAGGAAATCCACTGGCCTCAGCCTCCCAAGTGCTAGGATTATAGGCGTGAGCCAGCCACTGTGCCCGGCCTTATGAGATAGATTTTAATGTAAAAGAGTACAAAAGTTCATTGATGTGGGATTCTACATTGCAGCTAATCTTTAAGAAAATCAAAGAATATTCCCAATTATCTAAAAAGTCTATTAAAATGCTCCTTCCTTTTACAACTATATATTTGCATAAAGCCAGATTGCAAGAGAAGGTGTTTACAACTTCATATGCTTTAGTCAAAACATTAAAAATGTTATTTATGTTAACATATCATGCTCTTATTAATACTATTTTTAATGAATTAACATTTTTTAGTGGGAGTGAGAAAAATAATCTTGATCAAATAACCAGACCACATAAAAAGGACACCAAATGCTACAAATTTCCAAAATATAAAGCATTGTAATTCCAGTCAATGCTACAAATATACCTTACCTCCTCGGGAACACCAAGTCGCTTAGCTGGGATATTCTTAATGAACCCTTCAAATAACTCTTGTCCAGAAGGATAGTTATCCATAGCAGTCTGGGAATAAATTGTTCCCTGTGTTTAAAAATAAAACAGAAACAAAATAAAGTATCTAAAATTGCATTTTAATTGTAAAGATATCAAGCATTCTATTGACTAATATCAAACATTAGTGGCTTAGTTTTTCCCAATATTGTCAAAGGAGTACAGTTAACCACTATCCACAAATGAATTACCTGAATGCTCATTTTTGTGACCTTCTCTTCCTTAATAACCAGATGAGCCCTAAATATTTTTATGAAAGTCTTGCTTTAAGAGCTTAATAATGTAAGTAAATGAGAGAGGTACAGTGCTGCCATGACATCATAGATCATTAAGGCCTTTGGCACACTGGGACAGGGGACTCTATTTTACCCCACTTAGACTTCTCTGCTTTGCAAGATTGAGCTATGGCTGTGTGACACTTAAACAATGCAGCGTTCTCTTGTCTCTTCACCTGGATTGAAATCACAAACAAAATAAGCCAAAATTTCAATTGTTCAAGAATTCTTTTATGTATCTTTCACTAGATATCAAGAGCTTATTAGGTCAGGAACACTGTTAAGAACTTAAGAACATTATTACGCTACAGGATGAAGCTGTTTATTATGGATTCATCACTACAACGCAGGTTATAGGGAAGACAGCAAAGTAAAATGAGAACATCTGACAGTGTTGATTATTCCAAAAATTCACTCCTTAAAGCACTGCTTTTCAGCCTTCACTGTACATTAGAATTTTCTGGACTGTTTTTTAACATATAAAGGCCTAGACTTTATGACTTGGGATAAACTTCACATATTACTATTGTTTAACAAACATTTTAAGGATACTTCTAATATGTAGTCTGGATTGAGACCCACTGGCTTAATTTAACCTTTTTGACAATCTGTAAATCAAATACTTCCTGAGGTGGCACCTGTGGCTCAAAGGAGTAGGGCACCGGCCCCATATACCAAAGGTGGGGGGTCCAAACCCAGCCCCGGCCAAAACTGCAAAAAAAAAATGAGAATACTTCCTGTAATACAAATTAGACTTTCTTTTTCTTTTTTTTTTAATTGAGACAGAATCTCACTCAGTGGCCCAGGTGATGAATGCTGTAGTGTCACAGCTGACAGCAATCTCAAACTCTTGGGCTCAAGCGATTCTCTTGACTCAGCTCCCGGAGTAGCTGGGACTACAGGCACCTGCCACAACACCTGGGGTCTGGCTCTTGTTCAGGCTAGTCTCCAACTCCTGAGCTCAGGTAATCCACCTGCCTTAGCCTCCCAGAGTGCTATGATTACTGGTGATTATTGGCATGAGCCGCCATGCTGGGTCTTCAAATCAGACTTTCTGATTTTATCTATGTTTTAAAGTCAAAGTCTCAGTAGTATATGTGCATATTAACAAAAATCTCTATCAACATCACAAATGGAATCTGAAAAGTAGGATTTGTCAACAATTCCACATAGAATGTTTACCCACAGGCCCAACACAATTGATCCTCACTCCACTGGAGGCCCATTCCAAGGCTAAGGATTTGGTGAGGTTGTAAACACCTTCTCTTGCAGCTCCAGAATGCCTTTGAAAGACAGAAAATAAATAACATTATAATCAGCTTTTCTTGAGCATTTGTCTCTGTTTTCAAAGCTTCATAATTTTAAGGGGGTAGAAGTGTTTTTGGTTACATGGAACAGCTTTGCAACGCTTGAGTCCTGGCTATCTGTATGCCATCTCCCAGATAGTGTGCACTGTACCCAGCAGGTAGATTTTTGCCCCTCCCCTTCTCCTTCTCCTCCTCCTCCTAGTTGATTTCCACTGAGTTTTACTTCCCTCTGTGCACATGAGTGTTCATTGGTTAGTTCCAATAATGAATACATGTGGTGTTACATTTCTCCTCTTAACCAACTTCATTTATTTATTTATTTTGAGACAGAGTCTCACTAAGTCACCTCAAACTCTTGGGCTTAAGTGATTCTCTTGCCTCAGCCTCCCAAGTAGCTGGGACTACAGGCACCTGCCACAATGCCCGGCTATTTTTTGGTTGTAGTTGTCATTGCTGTTTGGCAGGACCGGGCTGGATTCAAACCTGCCAGCTCCAGTGTATGTGGCTAGTGCCCTAGCCATTGAGCCACAGGCACCAAGCCTCTTAACCAACTGCACCCGAGACTCAAGTAGTTAATGAGGATCCTCTCTGGGACTTGCTGCCACTGGTAGCCGTTTGTTCTGGGTTGATTTGACACACTCTCTCATTGAAGATTTAGGAACAGCAAGTGTTGGCCTGTCTCTCCTGCTGGTACTCTTTTTGCCACATGAAGAGAAGGTCTGCCTGAGAATGCAGGTGGACGTGAAGGAAACAGAAACAAAGGTGAAGCAGCTTCCTGCCAACATCCAACCTAACATGCCCCTTGTACAGCGTTCTGTCGGTACCAGAATCACCCTGGGGGGCTTACACAGATGGCTTGGCCCTGTGCCCAGAGTTTCTGATGTAACAGATCTACAGTGGGGCCACGCAATTTGCAGTTCTAACAAGTTCCTGTAAAATGCTGATGCTGCTGGTCCAGAAATCACACTTAAAGAACCACCGCCCTAGATTTTTACCTAAGCTAAGTCTAAATTTTATTTCTATCCCATACAACTGAGGGAGTTGTGAATAATACAGGAATTGAGTAGAGTACTAGAATAATATAGGAATTGAGTAGGTACACAGAGGAAGCAAACTCTCTGCTTATACAGTGACTAATTTGAAGTACAAAGCCTTAGAAGCTTTTGGGGAAAAATTCTGGGTTATCTTTTAGGAATATCAATTTAGCAGTTCTATCTAAAATCAGATAGGCACATTCATGGTATTCAAATCTAAATGAACATAGATCAGTTTCATTTCAACACCTTAACAGAAAAACAGTGCCCAGACAGTGATGGCAAGTTTAGTAACATCTAGATTAAATTTGCCCCATAAAACACAGGACATCCAATTAAATCCAAACATCAGATGACAAATACATTTTTTTGTCACAAGTATGCCCCTATACAATATTTGGAGTATATTTAATATGGAAAAACTATTCAATAGGGCATTCTATTTTTCTTTTCTTGGTAAATCTGGCCATTCCTAATCTGAATGGAACTTTGTGTATGTGTGAGGCAGTCTCCTGATGTTGTCCCAGGACTGTAACCAGTCCTCTACTGGTTATGTGTGATTCTGACTTTTGCTTACAAATGGTGCCGCATGTACAGCTTTGTCATACTCTTTATTAAAAATTGTGTTGTTTGTCCCTGAAAGTTCCTGGGCTCAAGGGATCTTCCTGCCTCAGCCTCCTGAGTACTTGGGAATATAGGTGCCCGCCACCTTGCCTGGCTATTTTTTATTTTTTTTGTAGTGATGGGTTCTCACTCTTGTTCAGGCTGGTCTTGAACTCCTGAGTTCCAGGGATCCTCCTGCCTTAGCCTCCCAGAATGCTAGGATTATAGGTGTGCGCCACCATGCCCAGACTGAACGAGAATGTTTTAGAAGTACATTTTTAAAGTCCAAATAAAGGGAAGTGTGAGTTAAGGTTACAATTCATTAGAAGTATTAACAATCTCTTTTTTTTTTTTTTTTT